CTGACCTCCTCCCTGTAAGCCGTCTCATCACCGTTGGTGATAAGACCCACCACTGTAGTGTCGTCCGCAAACTTCACAATGATGTTGGAGTTGTTAGTGGCCGTGCAGTGCATGTGCAGGTATATATGTATGTATATCTATACATATGTATATTTAGTGTGTACATGTGTGTGTACATGTGTGTGTGTACATGTGTGTGTGTACATGTGTGTGTGTACATGTGTGTGTACATGTGCATAAACAGGAATAGTAGTGGTACAGTAGCTATATCAAGCTATATAGTTTATATCTTCCATATTTCCAACCATATCCATAACCACATACTGTGTGTGCTACTGTTGTATGTAGTGTATTATCTTACTTTTTTTCACTGATTGTACTTATTGCATTTTTGTATTTCCTTCTGATATCTGTACCTGAGCTGAGGTGACGCAAAAATTTCCCCGTTGTAGGATCAATAAAGTCTTATCTTATCTTATCTTATCTTATCTTACAGCGCCAGAAAGATGGAGGTGCACTGTATACAAATGAAGATGAACTATGTTCAATAAGCCTAAAGGCCAAAGAGACAGCGTCCCGTCTGTGCCATGTGCAGGAAGATGAAGCCTGCACCGCTCGGATTAACATGTCCCTCACGGTGAGCCAGAGCCTGAGAGAGGACAAGTGGCCGCTCCGTGAAATAATCTCATTTAGCTGGCAGGAAACAGAGCTGAAAGTGATTAGAAGGAAGACGTGATGAGCTGTAGTAATCATGTCCATCCTCTTCAGTCTGACACAGCACCGCTGACTGCAAAGCACGCAAACCTGGTCCCACCCATGGTGCTGGAGCTCAATCAGCTGCTCTAAGCTTTTCTAAAAGCTGACCTACGTTCAGACCACTGTTAAGGCAACTGTCTGACCAATCATATGGCTGCTGTGCTCACACATGGATCTCAAACAAGGATTTTATCTGGATGATGACTCAGCAGCTTTGAAAGAAAGCAACAAAAAGCTTCTTTTGTGATGAGATGTTGAAGATCTTCATGAAACTTAAAGAAGTTCAAGTTCCTTAGTTTGCCGCACAAGCTGGCTAACATTAGCTGATGACTCCATGCCCCGCCCTCTTGTCCATATAAGGTCACTTCTGGAGACAAAAACCAACATGGCAGCATCAAAGTGCTGTTACCGAAGCTTGAGAGCTTGGGTTCTGCATCTGAGCCAGCTCATCCTTTTGTCGTCTTCTTCTTTGTCGTCATGGTGATTCCACGTTTTAAATGGGACATTTAAATGGGACTCGAGCAGTTTTTATTCTGTCTTTGAGGCCTCAGCAGGAAGTCCCTGCGCTTGTGCCACAGTGTCTGAGCACTGATGTTTGCCTTCTTCACAGAGAAAGAAGAATATGAAAGCAAACTGTGAGCTCTGACAGCAGCGGCGGTTCATCGGCGTGTGGGCGTTTTCCTCCCGCTCACCTTCACTAACAAAGAGAAAATGAGAGGAAAAAACCTGCTGGGGGGAAAAATGTTTCCTTTACATCAGACTGTTAGTGCACACAGTCCAGCTGCGATAGAAAGAATCAGCCTCAATGCGAGTCCAGTTCTTTCTCTCACATCTAAACACAGCTCAGAAGGAGTGAGATCGCTCGGCGGGGCCATTCAAAGAAACCTCCGACAATCCTCAGACGCTTCTTCATGGAGCTGGAAGTGACTGAGGGGACGACTCTGGATTTAATGCATACAGAGGAGAGATGATTGTGTGGGCGGCAGATGTGCAGGAGATATTTGGTATTCTGAGAGCAGAGTTTCTTTGTCCGACCCCGGCTCTCTGTGGGTGGGTGTGGATGGGGGTCGGAGTAACTTACAGGAAGAAGAATAAGCTTATTTAATCCTGCCCCTCATCATCTCTCTCTTCCTGTTTGTGCTTCATTACAATTTGTTTAATTATTATTATTTTTATAACCCAGGAACAAATCCAAAAATATACATATTTATAGATGTATATATATATATGAACATACTTGTGCACCCACACATATATAAACATCACTGTTGTGAAAACAGTGGTGAGAACAGATCAGAGCTCCGCCTTCTCGCTGGACTTTGCAAAAAACGTGCTTTTGAAGCGCGTCGTGCTGAGACGTCACTTCAGTTCTTCATTTACTCTGTTCCACACACAGAGATGCAAAAACTAATAATCATGCTAATCATCGTTACTGAAGGACGAGCAGGACGCACATGCAGCAGGACGCCGCCGCACAGGAAGTGTCGAGCGTCTGTATGTAGTGGCCTCAGGATTATATCACAAAATTTGAAGAAAACAACAAAATTTCTGATGACACAAAAACCTGAAGCTTTTATTTTAGCTGACAGGAAGCAGCATTTATAAAGACGTCTGTACGGTGACTGAGAGCGTCACAGCAGGGACCGGACCCTGACTTGACCCACACTCTGATGGATGCATCAGAGAACGGACTGGAGCAGCCAGGAATCGAACCACCAACCGTCTGCTTAGTAGATGCTCCAGCTCCCACTCACCCACCGTGTAACTGTCGCTTCCTGTTACGCAGATAGTTCAAGTGATGCTGGTGTTGTCTGGGATAAACCCAGTCCCTTCCCGGGATTTCCAGAGTTTCCCATCAGTGTGCTGGAAATCTGAAACGACCTCGGTCAGGTCATGAGTTTGGTGAACGCCCTTTGTTGTTTGGTGTGCATGCAGACTGACTGTTACTCTGACAGCATTAGTAAAGTCGTCACTGATGTCTGTGCTTCCTGAGTGTGAAATTAAGATCGGATGAGCTGTGATCACCACAGAGCATACTCCCCGCTTACTCCAAAGCCCTTTCAGTGCAGGTCAGGACAGCGAGGACCTCTGGGGTCACAGAGTCACACTTTGACTGCCTCCATGGACCACGAGGCAGCGTCACAGCATCGCTGAAACATTTCTACGTGAACTGAAACCAATGTATCAGCAGGTCGTTTTACTTTTTGATTTAGCCAGTCGTCTGCCTGCAAGGGAGAAGGATGCTTGCTCCGGGTCTGCCTGTTTGTTTGGACCTTTGTGAAGATGTGTTTGAGCTCAGGCTGTTGTTTTGTGTGCGTCACCTTGTGTTTGCTCTGATTAGTGTGTTTCCAGAGGGACATTTGTAGTGTTTGCGCACCTCAGACCTCAGGGTTCATCCCACAGGCTCCACGGTGGACCAAGGACGATGATGATGATGAGTAATCACTTCAGACTGCTTCTCACTTAAGCAGCGTGCTGTCGCATGATTGGAAATCTTACAGTGCCATCAATCAGGCACAGGGGTAATCAGGATGAAGGGGGAGGGGCAACAGAAAGGGTAAAAGGACCTATCAGCATCCAGAAAAACAGAGATTGCAGGTGAACCACTCTCCTACAGAGGGTACCCCTGAATGTGTTTGTGGTGGTTGATGCCTTACAATAATGCAGCGTGCAGGGAGTGTTTCTGTTCCTGTTTGCACTCCTCTGTATTCTGCTGCGTGGGGTCCACACCGCCTGGTGGGAAACCTCGACGCTCGTTTTGAAATGTCTTCTTCTAATTTCACATTCTCTCAGAAGTCCAACTGGAGCGAGAGGAGGCGACTTAACGTTGTGTGAGGTCATACGATCAAAGAGTTTTCCTTTCTCTGGGAGATGATGGAATTACAGAACAGGGCTCATTAAGGCAGAAACAAGTCCTGAACAAAGAAACTACATCCTGTTTGCAGCTCATACGCTCTAAACCAGCACCGACCCAGTCACATCTATGATTATTCCTTTGCATCTATTTACATTATAAATATGTAAGAGATAATCCACTGATTATGTTGTAGTTCACCTCGTCCTCATACCTCCTTCTTCAGTGAATTTAGTGACGTTTGGTTTTCCACACTGAAACTGACAAATTTTAGCTTCGTCACTGATGACGTGTCTGTCACGGGTCAGGTGACCCAGTGTTTTGAGTTTTGGTTTATTTTGATGTTTACGGTTTATGTTTAGGTCCTTTAGGTTTTCTACGTTTGTCTGTGCTTTGCCTGTGTTTCAGTTTTAATTCATTGTTTTTTAAATTCCCCTTGTGTCTTCTACCCCTGTCTGTTTCCTGTTTTATTTTGAAGAGGTCTGGCGTTTCTGTGTTCATTGTGTTTAGTTTTATTCTTCCCCGTGACGTGGTCATGTTCACTTGTGTCAGCCGTTGTGTGTCCACTCCCCCGATCACCTCCTGTGTGTATTTAGTCTGTGTGTTTCTGTTCAGTCGTCGTTCTTTTTATGCAATAAAATAATCTTTCTTTGGCTGAGCACATCCAAGATAAGAGGCCACTTCATCCACAGCACAGCACAAACATAACAGCACTGAATCCTATCAGCACGTCTGCAGGGAAAATAGATTGATGTGTGCGATGGACAAAAAAGAAAAACAGAAACGCTGATATGCCACACTCTTTATTTCCTCGTGCAATCTCAGTGCTTCATATTAGAAGTGAGGAAAAGTGAAGGCCAACTGTAAGTGAAGGAGACCGTAACATGGAGAAGAAACATTTCTGTGTTCAAAACACTTTAAGGACTTTGTTCAAAAGCCGGACAGAGTTACTTCCAGGTCAGGTTTTGAGAGCAGGTCTTCATGATGTACATGTGTGTTTCATGTCCACTGTAAATGCCGTTAGCTACCAGACAACTTCATACCAAAGAGGGTCAAATTAAAGTCAGCATCACAGGACATTCAGTAAACGAACAACTTTAAGGATCAAATCAAACCCTGAGCTGCTTCTATTCTGGCTGATGCTAGCTAATTCCTGCTAATGCATAGACATCACTGTCTCACACAGCACAGTGCAGTGTAAGTGCATATCCTTTCAGTCTTTGGACTGATCATAGCTGTACTACTTCAGTCTTCAGTTATTATGTCTATTTTTATGCTTAAGGACAACAGATGGAAATTAGCCCTTGGCTATAATCTGGTATGTTTACATTCATGTAATTTTTTTTTTTTTACATTTATGTTCATTAACATGCATTGTCCTAAATAAATAAATAAATAAATAAATAAATAGTCAGTCTCATCAGGCAGGGATGTTAACCATGCACAGCTGTGAGTGTGATGGAGCAAAGAGAAGCGAATCCTCGTGCTGAGGCTGGACACTCCTGACGGTTGATGGGAGTCCATAACAAACTGGGTCCAGATCCAGACTGTTCTTCAGTCCATCGGGCGGCTGATGACACTTTCACTTTGCACTGGCTCCAGCTGTCAGTTCTATTTATTTAGCACCAGCAGCAGCCGGCTCGAGGTGTTTTATATCATAAGGTAAAGACTCTGCAATAACACAGAGATAACTAATTAGATTAGATTAGATGAAACTTTATTAATCCCTCGGGTGGGTTCCTCCGGGAAATTCAGTTTCCAGCAGCACAGCTGCTCTTTAGGTACTGCTGCTGACCTCAGTGACTCCTCAGCCTCACCTGGCTGTTCAGCTTGCCCCTGAGCACTCGCGTCTGATACTGTGCATCATCCAGCTGCTGCTTCCAGCTGTCTTTGATATCCTGACGTGTTAGAACAACACATCATCAGCTGAGTTCAGGAAGAAGGAGTTTGGTCCTTTCCCTGCAGCTCTGCTCATGCATCATCTCCCGCTGCCTCTTGTTTACACCTCTTCAAGAGGCAGGGAATAAAACATGGGGATGCTTTATTCATTTGTTTTCTTCATGTTGGGAAAATGTATTCATGATCAAAGCAAAGCAGTGACTGCGGGTCAGCCTGCTCACCGATCACCTAAGAGATTCCAAAGCCGACAGTGTGGTCGGAGATTTGGGAAGATGGGTTTAAATACACAGATATATCACAGCTGTGCTGACACTCCCATAAAACAGTGCCTGAGATTTACAGGCCTGCAGGTCTGCAGAGTTTATACAGCATTTGCCTGTGGAGCAGTACGGTTACAGCTGTAACTACAAATGTCCGTATGTGCTTACGGACCAGCAGCAACCGAACCACAGAATCAGGTGTTTGCTCATTAGCAACAGGCTAGTGCTAACTAACGAACAAGCGCAGTCACTAATGTTCGCTCCACACTCTCGCTGCCTCCCCGGTGGAGGTCTATGGACGGTAGTCATGGGAACGTTACACAGGTGACGAGCCGGGAGCGAGACTAGCCAGAGCGTGTCCTTCCAGGCTGTCTGCGAGGCGCCGGCGGCTGAGACGGGACAGCAGCACTCAGTGCTTCAGGACCATGAAGGCTCTCCTTGTCCTCCATGAATAACACCTTTAATCACATAAAGGCTTTGCTCTGTGACCTCCTGCTGGGCCTGCTCTGCACTCAAATGAGCTGTGAAGCCATATATTGTCCCCGAGCGTCCGCATCATCATGTTTTTACTGATGATGTCATCCACATTTAACGATCCTGGTTCTGTTGTGAGGATGGCGTAAGTGCGTGAGGTCATCACGAGCATATGGACACAAACAAGAAATCAGCGAGTTCAGTGTCGAGTGCTGCGAGGACATAAAAATAGCGGCAAACGCTCAGCGTGACTCAGAGCTGCTGTCAGCACCGTCTGTACAGACAAAGATCTCTGAAACAAACTGAATCTGTGGGTGACGCTTCCACCACCCAAACTTCACAATGTGATGTCTCTGATTTGCTGAGCAGTCATGTGACAGCAGGATGAGCAGACGCGCCGAGGAGTCGGGGTTTTGGCAGACTATTGGTTAAGAAATCCAGAATCTGAATGTTGAGAGAATCAGTCCAGTTACATCTTTGCATTATTAGGGGCGTGGCCTCCATGACTGGCACGTGGATGGTGACACAGGCGGCTGTAGCTGCTAGCTGTCTGCTAAGTCTCAGCTAGTTGGTGTCCCTGAGCTTGACCTCATGTAAACTTCTATGGTTCATGATTGTGTTTCTTTATTGGCTGAACTGAGTTTTTAATCCAGCCACAAAAGTAAAACTGTAAACATCTGTGACAGAGACGCCACATCGAAGACTAAAAACCGTAATGAACTGAGATCCATCAAAGAGTAAATAAAATGCTTCCTGTAGGAAACTAAGCAGCAACAATATGTCAGACTATTAACAGCATTCTTCATAAATCAGACTCGACAGGAAGGAGATAAAGTGTCGTCAGAGCAGAGTGACGGGTTTAAATGAGGTCATGCTAATTCCTCTCATGCACACTGCCTCTCGTTCATCGTGTGTCTAACTGCAACTGCACAAAACAGCAGAGGCTCAGATGATGGAGGCCAGGACAGAGCGGGTAAAACCCAAACTCAGAATCTCATTTAATCAGAATGTCACAATAATCATGGTAATAATATCATTTAACATCACAATTCATGTCTGTGAAACATGACTCTGCGTCCCAGAGCACCCAGAGGAGGACGGGCAGCGCCTCCTCTGCAGGAGTCACCAGAGCTTTAAACCGTGACGCGCGACAGGAAGTGACTATAGAGTTAATCCTGTCACCTGAAGCTGTAGCTCAAGTTAAAAATGTTGGGGATGTTCTGAGGAACAGATCATTAAATAATTCTGCTGCATTCAGTATTAAAAATGCTTCAAATGTAACATCGAGCTGTCGGCACGTCGACGCCGAGCATCGTTTTGATGTTTCTGTCAAAAATCCAACAGGAAACTGTGGAGAGCAGAGGCGGAGCCAGGACAGGAGGAGAGGCCAAAGGTTAAAGAGAGAGATGATGAAGGACGAAGCAGCATGAAGACAAATGAGCGAACACGTGCCAGCAGGAGAAGGACAGAGCGAGGTCGAGGAGATTTAAAAGATGAGCTGAACATAAAGCTCATATGTGCTTATATGTGTGTGTGTGTGTGTGTGTGTGTGTGTGTGT